ATACATACATACATACATACATACATACATACATACATACATACATACATACATACATACATACATACGCATGTATAACGGGATCGGGTGGTCAGGCTCGCTGACTTGGTTGACACATGTCATCGGTTCCCAATTGCGCAGATCGATGCTCATGCTGTTGTTCACTGGATTGTCTGGTCCAGACTCGATTATTTACAGACCGCTGCCATATAGCTGGAATATTGCTGACTGCGGCGTAAACCTAAAATCACTCACTCAATCACGTACATGTATATACTTGTCTTCCACCGAGATCTGATGTTACACACACACACATTATGACGTAATTACATACCAAAGTCATCTTTATTTGATGCACTATTCATTTATCAGAAATAAACTACACCAGAGACCATATAATAGATGTCTCTGATTACACAGGATTGTTTAATATGAATAGGCGATGATATAAAATAACTCGTAAAGACGTAACAAAACTTGTTACATTGCGTAAAACTTTTAACATCGCTTCACAAGCTGAAGGGGCAGCATTTTCTGATAAGACACATTTGTCTTTCACTCGTGTTTGATTGATACAATTAATTTCACCTGGGATTAAAAACTATGTTATTTCATGGCAGTTCAACTGAATTGTGCTTCATACATACGTTACACGTGCGAACATACGTACGCACGCACGCACGTACGCACGCACATAGACATCCCTGCCAGCATGACAAGATCATATGCACCAAGTTAGGTTTGGGTGCAGCGAGCATCGATACCTATGTCTGTACTCACACAGAACCCCTCGCAGTGCTTGTACAGACATAACCTGTCTGACAGCTGCTTACAGAACCGGATGTGCACTGTCTCTATTTGGAGAAAACCACGGAGTCATTTGATCCCGTGTTTATAAAGGTTAGAGCGGCCACACATTCCCCCGGCGGTGACGTCGTCTGCGCGTCAGTCTGGCGAAACGTTGTTATAAGTAGCCCAGCCCAGTGTACCGCGGTAAACTAGAAAAACTCCACGTCTGATTATCGATCGCAATGACCACAGCATGGACTAAGTCATGGCAGTAGGGACAGAAAATCTAGCATCTTACACTCTCGATATACATACATATACATAAGGTAGTTATTTATAGTCTGTGTGGTATTTTAGGTGATGTTTATGAGACAGCATACACAAGAACAGGTGTAAGTTTTTGCGGACTTATGATGCGGTGGTTTTCCTGTTATAATCCCGAGGTTTATACTAAAAAGTGACATTGTGTTCTATACTGGACAACATTAGAAACGCACCATCCATATAATACGAAATATCCCCGTCAGACTGAAATGTACCCATGATATCTGAGCATCTTCGGTGCATTTTAGTGTGGTGCGTTTCTAATGTTGTTCAGTATATTTGAAACTATCCCATCAACCATTGTTGATTGATTGTTTCTTATTTAACGCCGCACTCGGCAATATTCCAGCTATATGACGGCGGTATGTAAATAATCAAGTATGGACCAGACAATCCAGTGATCATCGATCTACGCAGTTGCGATACGATGGCATATGCAGTCCACCAAGTCAGCGAGTCTGACCACCCGATCCCGTTAGTCGCTCTTACGACAAGCGTTGGTTTCTGAAGACGAATTCTAACCTGGATCTTCACGGGTCAAGCATGATTAGACAGTGTATTGCATAGACAGTAATTCATTTGGAAGCACGGAGGCAGCTTCATCAACATATTCAGAAAGAAGTGTATTTTAACCTGAAGTAATAGATTATCCACAGCAGCGACTATTTCACTCTCCTCTTGCAATAACAAGGCGGTCAAGAGTTGGTGCACTGATGAAACACAACGCTTTGGACGGGAAACTAGACATGGTATTTTGAAAAGATTTCTTGGCAATATGTTCTTCTCACAAACAAATGTTGCATAAACAGGGGAGACGCGCCCACGATATCGTTCTCTGGGAGCATTTACGAGTTTACGATTGTTCAACAAGTTGACGGTGAATTGAATTATGATAATTTAACTATATGTATGTCACAGGTCCACCATTTTACGCTTCACCATGTTTATCTTTAACCTTACGAACATCACAGCACGTGATGAATTGATCAGTCTACGTCTTAAGTACGGGAACGCGTCAATCTCATCGACAAAGTGGCTAATGGAAGAAAGTACCCAGTTCGCAAGAACCTGTGGCGCCACATACAACTATTTACAGAGGGAGTAAGCTAAATTCGTAAGTCATTGTACGCTGACTAAGTAAATAATTTAATCATTCTTCGGTCTGTTCTTTAACAGAAATGAGCTTGAGAGAAATCAGACTAATGCAATATTCAATCTATTTCCGTTCATGCTAGTGTTGGACCTCAGCTAAACATTACAGGTAATACTTGCCTGAACTGGTGGGCCTCGACATACTTATCTGATTTAGATAGATTCAGATTTCAGTTTACCCAAAATTATAACCTGACTTTATCAGTTAATTAATTCGTGAAAAAATTAAACATTGTAAGGATTGCAAGAGTCAGATCTTTCGATATGCGTCCACGCATGTCAGTTTTCCATGCGCTTTTCATGCCGATTTAGCCGAAACGCTTCCAATTGTAACTATGCTACGAGCTGCCACAAGACGTTTTATACGGTTCCAAGAAAAAAATGACACTCTGAAAGCATTTATCAATGCTACTGAAAGTTTTAATGATTCGTGGATACAAAGGGGCATCCCACATCATGGCCGACGCCATTCTTGGGAAAGTCACATTCGTGCCTGTGCATTGGTATAGTGCCCCGCGACGAGGCACTGAGATGCTTAATGTCAGGCCGAACCAAATTAATATACAGGTTCTCTTTCCTGGTTGCGACTTTCGTGTATTTCCATGCACTATAAACTCGTGTAGTTGTATGGTATGGTATCCGTTCAGTAGATCTCTGTACAAGTTTAGTACGTTTAAATGTCGCTTCATCGTGTCGGTCCTAAAGGGCCCAGTAACGAGAAAGGTACAAAGATTTGTAGGCCTTATATTTTATCTTGTACGTATCCTTCCTTGCGTTTACAAAACGAGATTTTAAACCTCTTAGGCAGCTTGTAGTGGAAAGTGTTCAACTGAAAGTACTAATGATGATATCATGTGCTAGCACTTCATGGCATCAAGAAAATCTATTTGTTTTTCCAATTATAAATGTTTTTATAAAATATGCAATGAAAAGGAAATTGTAGTGGAAAGTGTTCAACTGAAAGTACTAATGATGATATCATGTGCTAGCACTTCATGGCATCAAGAAAATCTATTTGTTTTTCCAATTATAAATGTTTTTATAAAAATATGCAATGAAAAGGAAATTGTTTATTCTTGGCGTTATTCCAACACGTATGCGCTCAGCAGCTCTGTGGGATACCAAAGATTGGTATCACGTTAAGTAAGGCTTCAAAACAACAGAATAGCCGTGTTCACAACGTTAGACTCAATCGTTCGCGCCATACGAACTCTTAACCTTTCGGAAATGAATTCGGTCTCGCACAGTCTCACCATCTCTAACTAACATGGCTATCGGGGACCTTTGCTTAATTCTCCAAATGTTCTGTTAAGTTTAGGTCCATATTCTTCGATTGATTTATGCGCGCGTTACATTATCTACCACTTGAACCTCTCGCAGTCGCGTCCGTCATAAACTTTCTTCCATGGTTGAAGAAGTCGCACAGTTCAAAGCTTCTTTCAGTCCACCGAATGTCTAAGCTTTGGGTGAAAATGCATTTGAGCCGTGAAGCAAAGAGGTTAAGCTTCCCGAACCTATTGATTGTATAACCACTATACGGAGTTGGGTCATTGTACAAATCACTGTGAAAAGCATCGATTATTGACCAATTTAGCCAGAGCAACCCTATGTGGAACCTAAATGGCCCTACAGGACAAGCACGGACTGGGAGAGACCCCCATCAGTTTGTACTGGCTCGCTGCCAGACAGTCGGGGTGGTGCGGTTTTACCGAAGTCTGCGCCATGTGCACTGACCATCCTGTGTTCGATTACCGAGCCGTGAATATGGAGGTGTATTTGAACAGTCTGTTTTCCTGGTAACCACGCATCGAACACGTGGGACGGAATCTAGCCTATCAGTCCGGAATATTTTCAAACTCTCTCGGGACTAGTTTTTTTAACCAGAGAACATTAGGGTAATCTTAGAGCGTTTTGTGAGCTGTATTTGCGCTCATCTGGTGTAACACGTTTACTCAGCTATTGACCTTGCGGAGGGTAGAAGGAGATGTCGGCATGTGCTGTAGGCGTTTAATACCGACTACATATTGTGTCACGTTGTTAACCCATTACGTCAAATTAATTCTGTTCTGCTGTTTCCTGCAAATATTTGATCGGTGGGCATAACAAAGAAAATGGAAGTCTTGCCGTTAAAAAAGTCAAATTAGCATGAGTATAGAGTCCCGGCCAATCTGTAGTAATCATCATTGGGAGTTGGTGATTGACAGCGTGAAACTTCTGACTCGCAAGTTGTATACACAATAGATCATCCATACAAAGTAAACAGGAAGCACTTTTGTTCACATGAAAATTTGTCAAGAACGTAACACAGTCAATTATGACAGGGTCCATTCAGCCAAGTATGTTTGTGTATGTATAAACATAGCATGTTTAGACACAGCTTGACCATGTTTTCTCCACTGTGGAGGTTACTTGAATGGGTACAAGACCATAGCTTTTGAATCCATAGCGGTACATCTAACACGCCCTGTCATACATGCACGTATATATCCATATTCAACCTCACAATACAACTGATAAATATTATCCTAAATATTATGATACTTTTCCGAATACAGCCCCTACCTATTTATGAAAGACCAAGCCTTCATGTTTTCACCACCGCTGTATCCTTGTCATGCATCAGCCACTAATTGTTCATTGTAAGACTTAGATCTGACAAAATGAAACTATACATGAGATAGCGTCACTGTGGCATCATGTGGGCTCTTGCATGCACTGGCTACAGTAAAACTTACGGTCATCAGGACATCGGCTACTTTGGTCAAGTCAGCACCAAGTCTTTCATGTTCATCGGATTGATTGCGATGGTTCAAACTCTCATCTAACTGAGGCAGGGATCGATCTCTCCATCCTGAACGTGACAAATGGTGGGAACAGACCTCCCCTGGCCCAGCTCGCCACACTCACGCCGGACTATACACTGATGTATTGGTACCGTGGTTGTCCGGTCCGGCATTATGGCGGTACTCCAGTAGCCCCTTCTCTCCGTGTTTAGACGTTACACAGCCCGATGTACATAACTGTATCTAACTTGTCTCGATGTTCAGTTAGGACACACACGTTTTGTCTCCAGTTCCAATTTGTTGCTTAATGTCTGACTCATTTGTTTGCAGACGCTTTAGAAAAAACTCACAGTGGGCACACACGCTTCTATACACGGAACGAGACGTGGGAGAGTACAGAGTCTGCCCCTGCATGCAACGGATAGCTTTGTACAGAGTGGGTAGAGTTAAGTCTATGTTACTCCATACATGTGCACTGACTGCTGATCTAACAAAGACACACACAGTGACCGTGTGACCCCGCACAAATACATATTACTTATGGTCCAAGATCGGTAATATTGACTATGTTCTACCACATGATGGTACAAGATTGGTCACATCGACCATGTTCCACCACATGATGGTACAAGATCGGTCACATCGACTATGTTTAACCACATAAAATCATCACATGATGGTACAAGATTGGTCACATCGACCATGTTCCACCAAATGAAATCACCACATGATGGTACAAGATCGGTCACATCGACCATGTTCCACCACATGATAGTACAAGATTGGTCACATCGACCATGTTCCACCACATGATAGTACAAGATTGGTCACATCGACCATGTTCCACCACATGAAATCATCACATGATGGTACATGCTTGGTCACATCGACCATGTTCCACCACATGATGGTACAAGATTGGTCACATCGACCATGTTCCACCACATGATGGTACAAGATCGATCACATCGACCATGTTCCACCACATGATGGTACAAGATTGGTCACATCGACCATGTTCCACCACATGATAGTACAAGATTGGTCACATCGACCATGTTCCACCACATGATAGTACAAGATTGGTCACATCGACCATGTTCCACCACATGATGGTACAAGATTGGTCACATCGACCATGTTCCACCACATGATGGTACAAGATTGGTCACATCGACCATGTTCCACCACATGATGGTACAAGATCGGTCACATCGACCATGTTCCACCACATGATGGTACAAGATTGGTCACATCGACCATGTTCCACCACATGACAGTACAAGATTGGTCACATCGACCATGTTCCAACACATGATGGTACAAGATTGGTCCACATCGACCATGTACAAGATTGGTCACATCGACCATGTTCCACCCATGATGGTACAAGATTGGTCACATCGACCATGTTCCACCACATGATGGTACAAGATTGGTCACATCGACCATGTTCCACCGCCGCATGATGGTACAATATTCCAGCAATATCACGGCGGGGGACACCAGAAATGGGCTTCACTCTTTGTACCCGACCATGATTCGAACCACCACATGATTCACCAGAAAAAGCTTTAACCACTAGACTCGACCATGTTCCACCACATGATGGTACAAGATTGGTCACATCGACCATGTTCCACCACATGATGGTACAAGATTGGTCACATCGACCATGTTCCACCACATGATGGTACAAGATTGGTCACATCGACCATGTTCCACCACATGATGGTACAAGATTGGTCACATCGACCATGTTCCACCACATGATGGTACAAGATTGGTCACATCGACCATGTTCCACCACATGATGGTCACAAGATGATGGTGGTAAGATTGGTCACATCGACCATGTTCCACCACATGATGGTACAAGATTGGTCACATCGACCATGTTCCACCACATGATGATCACCATGTACAAGATTGGTCACATCGACCATGTTCCACCACATGATGGTACAAGATTGGTCACATCGACCATGTTCCACCACATGATGGTACAAGATTGGTCACATCGACCATGTTCCACCACATGAAATCATCACATGATGGTACAAGATGGTCACATCGACCATGTTCCACCACATGGTACAAGATTGGTCACATCGACCATGTTCCATCACATGAAACACCACATGATGGTACAAGATTGGTCACATCGACTACCACATGATGGTACACAGATTGGTCACATCGACCATGTTGGTCACCACATGACCATGTTCCACCACATGATGGTACAAGATTGGTCACATCGACCATGTTTCACCACATGATCACATGATGGTACAAGATCGGTCACATCGACCATCACATGAAACACCACATGATGGTGTTTGGTCACATCGATGGTACATGTTCCACCACATAAAATCACCATGTGATAGGTACAAGATCGGTCACATCGACCATGTTCCACCACATGATAGTACAAGATCGGTCACATCGACCATGTTCCACAAGATCGATTCAAGATCACATCGACCATGTTCCACCACATGATAGTACAAGATCGGTCACATCGACCATGTTCCACCACATCGATGATTCCACATGATGGTACAAGATCGGTCACATCGACCATGTTCCACCACATGATGGTACAAGATGGTCACATCGACATGTTCCACCACATGATAGTACAAGAGATCGACCATGTTCCACCACCTGATCGTACAAGATCGCTCACACTGACCGTGTTCCACCACATGATGGTACAAGATCGGTCATATCAACCATGTTCCACCACATGATGGTACAAGATCGCTCACACTGACCGTGTTCCACCACATGATGGTACAAGATCGGTGATGGGTTGTGTACTGTACACTAGGGGCTGTGACAACACTGAAATATTCTGCAAACAAAGTTGACAGGTGGGGTCGATCCGAGCACCTCAAGCTCACTGGAGCACTAGCCTGGGGCGTTAGCTCGCCCACCACGCCCTCGCAGATATGCAGATTGTGGCGTAAAACAGCACACATTCTCATTCGCCCGCCCATCAACTGACTCAATATAGTGAGCACCCCTTGCATATCAGTTTCACCAATTCCAATTTCTTTAAGCGCTCAGCTTGCTAGAGATACACTTTACGTGATTGTCAACATTCGTGTAAATGTTTGATTCATGGCCCTGTCGTCAGCTGTCCACACAGAACGTCCCGGCATTCAGGTCTTTCCAGGGTCTAGAGTGTGGTTGTCCGTGGACGCTTGTCTTGAAATACATACCCCAATCAATCACTGACTTTCAAATAATCGAAAGCTTCTTCATTTCGGTAGGTGTGTTGTTTGTTGGTGAAAAGACACAGGGTAAATGTGTTTTAAGGTCACGATACGTGATGGATAAAAGCTGTACCATGCGGAAGTAGGTGTACAGGATGCTTCGTCTGCAGGGGGAGAGTGCAGCCCACAAATTTGTTTGTTGTTGTACCTAGACTGAAGTACAAAAGAAAGTTAACACCTGAGGTTTGGGAGCTATTTTCCAAAAACAATGTAAATATTTTGAAAAGTGTTTTGATTGTGACGTACAAGTAGAAGGTAATTAAAAACAACTTGACAGTGTTGTGCAGGGGATATCATAGACTAAGGCTTAGTCTCTGAATATATATAATTTTGATAGTAACAAACAAGCCCATTTAAATTGAAAAGGAGCCCTAATGAACCTGGGGAAATCTAGACTTGCTTCGTTTAGGGGTTTAGCACTACAGGGAAGGCTAGGGTGTAGGGAAAATAATGTGGTTCAGGGACTGTGAGACAGACTAGGGATATCATGAAAACCATTCGTCTTATGTGCTGTTAAAGTTCAAAATGTGGAACGAGAACGAACCGTTGGAATCTCGCAGACAGCTACACATGTTCGTCTGTACAAAGCAGACGACCAACTGACAAATGGGACGCATCAGTCAGACTGGCCAGACACCTGACAGTCCCAGACCCGGAAGGCCGAGAGCGACCTCCCTGCAAGATGACATTAGCTGCGCATTCTCCGTCTGCACAACCGGATGCTCACCTTCATGTCATCAGCACCAACGCCGACGACTGCCTGCTGTCGGCATCTGGGTCTGTCGATCAGTCTGCTCATGTCATTAACATGTCCACATCGACTGAATCGTCCACGCTGGGCGAGGGACGTGAGGCACTGGGAACATCGCAACTGGGCACGATGTTTGTAGTGTCTGGGGAAAACGTACAAACTGTTTGTGCCTGGTACATGTCACAATCAAAATTCTCTTCATATTTACGTTGTTTTTCTTTAAAAGGGAACCAAAGGACCAGGTGTGTATTTTATTTTGTGTGTCAGTTTATAACAGATAATAATAATTGCTTTGTATAGCCCCTATTTCCAGCTATATGCAGCTGCTCAATGGTGCTTTATACGTTAGAAGTCACTTTATTACAGCTCAATCAGTAGATGAGAAAAGAAATGTTTTGAGTTTTCTCTTAAAAGGTGGGAGAGAGTCACTATTCCTTATGTCAAAGAGGACCGCGTTCCACAGGGCGGGAGCTGCAAGTGAGATAGCTCGATCTCCAGCCTTTGTTGATGTTGATGGAACAACCAGTTGCTCCTTCTGGGCAGAACGTAAGGTTCTAGATGGGTGGTAGACCGATAGCAGGTCCTTTAAATAAGCAGGCGATGACACAACATAGAGAGCATTGTACGTAACATGGGGACTTGTAAATAATGATATTTGGGCAAGATAAACTATTCACTGATATCACGCCCCACGCTGTCGAGGAACATTGACATACAACCTAACGAGACTCGGGGTTTTGCCATCAGGGCCTCGTTCCACAAAGCGATCGTAGCGCTACGACAGTCGTAAGTCTATGTTAAAGTACGGGAGTTACGATCATCTTAGCGCTACGATCGCTTTCAGGAACGGGGCCCAGATCACCATTTTGACTGACACCTACGACTGGAACTGAGGTTCAGTTCCCATCTCGAATCCCCATGCTTGCAGTAGCAGCAGGAAGAGGCGGGGGCAGGGGCGGAGAAAACCATTGTTATTGAGCTGTTCACCGAATCGATCGCCAGATTCTACAGAGCATCCTAAATACCTGTATC